TCGAATGTCCCTCTCAAATATATTCGTTGCCACGACAGATGGCCTGTTGAGATTAAAATGTTAGGTGTTTAGTTTTGAGCAACAAATCATCCTAATTTGCATGTATTAGGCTTCTTATATTGAACTGTTTCGCGCAAATCGACATCAGTGATAAAGAAGACGAAGTTATGCGGTCGATGCTAAGTATGGATTTGTGACACCTCAGATTAATTAGCCCCGCATGTTCGACCGTTATACAGCGTAACGCCAACCATTGAGCCGTATGGAACACACTCGCACTTAAAACGTGTAACTAGTAATAATTTCTCTGGCGAGCGGCATTGTTTGTGCAGGAACGTGGGGGCTTTTGAGTGCTACTTCGCCGAATCATGGTTTTGACACTTACCTGACTGCCAGGAAAGCGACGAGCCAACCAACCATCAAACAATAAACCGGTCGATGAACTAGAATGCACAAGACGAAAGCGACCAAATAAGGACAGAAATAATGGAGAACAGAAAAATTTACTCGGCTGTGCATGCGTCCGATTTAGAGATTTATGAAACATTATGTCGCAAGGAAAATAGTACCGCATGATTGATGGTGAAATTGTGCATATGGAACGCAACAAATAATATTTCACCTTATGTAATGTATAAGATTCACATTTGGAAACTAATTCTATCCAGATGGCGGAAATGGTGCAATATCTTTGAATTTAGCTGGAAACCAACTAATCGTTCCTGAGTGAAATATTACTGGATTTAAGGTTTACATTCATAAGCCCACATCACACAATTTCATGCGGATCATCCATGAGTTCTCATTCACTTAAGAAAAGGATAGTATGGGACAAAAGACCGACAATAAGAGATGCGCTATGTGAATATTTTGCGAACGCATGGCCAAAGGTGATGGGGATAAAAGCCCGCATGTGAAACTGGATTTCTTCAACACGGACAGACAGTCTGCACGCCTCCCGCCATTTTGTTGAAGCCATAATTTTTGAAATCTCATTACTCTTGCCGCCGGATAAATTTGACTCTTGTGACAACTTTGTGGTATTTGCAGCTTTTATACGCATCGGTGCTTTCAAATATGCCGTAAAAAGTTTAATGATATAAGTTCTGAAGTCAGTGGTAAATTATAAAGCCACCGGTGCACCATTGGTACCTGCCCTAGAAGCGTTTTTGATTACTCTTTTAAAGTCAGTTACGAAGCAAAACCGGTTTTCGAATGCAGTGCAAATACCGATAAACCTTATACCTTTTTAGCTCCTAAACACTGTGTGGATGTTTTGGAAGATCGCCAGTCTTGACGGCGTTAAAGCGTGCACCTGATACTTCGTGTACGTTAGCCTCACGCTCCTGCTGACCTGGATATCTGGTTGGTAACGGCCTACTTCCGGAAAGGGAATCCTGGAGGTTTCAGAATTCTTATGGAGTTGGCGTGAAACAATTTACAAATCAATGTACCTGCGGTTATTGAACTGCAAAAAATATGAGGACGTTAACTTTGATTGACATTTCGAATTTTCCGTGCACAGCGCAGGAGTTCGCTCCCGTTAAAGTTCTGTTTCAGCGAATCAGATATATTTGATTGAATTTATCATGTGAATCTTCTGAATTTCTAAATTAAATCCGCTTCCATCACTCTGAATTAGAATTTTCTCTACTGAGGAACGTTTAGTAGATTAGTCTGACGCAGTCACGTTATTCTGCCGCTTTGCTGCAGTTTGATTATCACGTAACATTATATTATGTCAACACAACTGCGACAGTCACTTTGGTTCATAATCATTTTATTATAACTATTCCTGTGATTTGCGGAAAGGTGCATCCCGATTAGGAAAATGTTACTCAGTTGTTTGAATGTGATATTTTCATAAATTTGACGGACCAATTGAACGAAAAAGGCAAACAGATGATTCATATTGACTTCGCATGACCTGCGTTTATGCAAATGTGCGTTTATTCTGCCGTTACCAAACATCCGGCGTTTGTGGATCATTCGGTAAACACCGTCTATAATTTTCCTTGGTGCATGTGATGGGAAAAGGGGGTTTCATTGTTGGCATCTCCATAATCATCATAAATACAATCCGTGAATTATGTCCACTGCAGAATTTTTCAAAAATTCAAAGCTATGAAACACTCCATGTTATCACAAAATGGTCCCAGGTTATCAACTTATCAACCGCACAAATGGGAGATCAAATTTCACCGGTAACCGAAATTTATCCGGACATTCTCTCATTACAATGAGGCACACTGACGACTACCAGATTTGTAAAGCTAATTTCAGTGGCCGTTTCCGTATATCCGCAAACCACATTTCAAGCTAAAATATGCACCACCTGTGATAACAACATATCTTCCCTCTTGTGAGGCAGTTTAATTATTAACTCCTGAAAAATTGTGATGGTAAAGAAACGCAGGTATTCAACCTTTGGACAGGAAAGCGAGATTTATACCGAGCTGGAATCGAAAGTGGGAAACACAGCAACTCTTTACTACGGCAAATCTCACCTCCACCTCCACTGTCAGATGACAATGTGATAATTAAAATACAAGCATCGAGCGGGAAAAGGGCACCAACAAAGCGCACCAATCCAACTGATAATTCCACAAATGAATAAAAAGCGGTTTGCTGGAGGTATTGTACCATGCGCGCATTCATTGTAGTTGTTTTGCATGTTTTTCCGAAACGAACGTACGGAACTTTCTCCTCTGGCTGCGCAATATTCCCGAGCCGCGAACGTAAGGAAACTAAGGGCTGCTGTTAGTGTTCTATAAGCAAAATATATCATCAAACATTGGGCTTTCATAATGAACTTTTTGCGTCAAAACAGTTTTCGACCAGTCAACGAGCATCTTAATGCAAATGCTAATTAAAATACCTGTAGGCTTAAAAAGTACCGTAAAATTATCGTGGAATACTAAACTTTCTCGTAGCTTCAGAAAACATTTCATAACCAAAATGAAGCAGCTTTTCAACGTGGATACCAATAAAGTTATTCTTTGGCCAGGATATCAAGAAACAATTATGCCAACAACATTTAAAGTGATCGCGTCTATTTTTCGCCAAGAAACACCATGCTTACATTGAACACGCTAACTCAAAACGCCTACTAATTGTGAGCCCAAGCGCCTACTTAAAACTTCCGTTTCAGGAATACACAAGCCCATAAGGTGCAGCTGGATGATGGATTATTCCACCTATGTTTTACTGACGTGGCTCTTTAGCCCAGGTTATCGCATTGCATATTCTGTTGGGTATGAATGACATATCAAACAGCATGTTTATGGCACCGCACAGTTGTAGTACCTAGTTGCACGGCACTTTTGATTTTAGCCCTACCGTACAACCGCCCGTTCACCAATTTAACTGCGTTCAAACATGACAGTACATGTGAACCCATAAATATTTAGTGTTTTCCGGTCATTCCGCACAATTCGCTCTACTTATAAAAGTGTGAAGTTTGTTCATTGCACGTGGATATGCATTTTTGAGGAACGATTTGTTTAGATAAACAAGATTCCGGACACCCTCCGCGGTAAAATCAAAATTTAAATGGGAATGTATGCACAGATCAATGGGGCCAAAATGGAAAAAAATCCCCATGGGATCCCTTATTTTGGCGGCAAAATCTGGGTACAGACCCAGCGTTGAACTTATAACTGACACGACTGACAGACGGGACTCATTGGCTCCCCACATACTCGTTATTCTATATCACCCATAGACATTTTTCGCCAGAGGGCTGAATTTGTGTATGTCGAATGCACGAATTTAGCCTCATTGTAGACATGGTGAAAAGCGTTGCTAAACCCCACTGAATCACTGGCGGATCGCAACTTCTCGCCTATCCAGGACAGGTGTTCAAATTTAGAAAATATTATGGTATTCATATTGATGCTGCGCCGTGATAGATGGATTGTATTATTGTTGGTGGATGGTATTATCTATGGTGAATAAAGTAGAATACGTTCAAGAATATTTCGCCCTTTGAGTTGATTGAAAGCAAATGACGAATAAGTGTCCGGTGTCCGCTTCGTTGGCAAACCGATTGCCAGCTTTGCTGTAATGCGATTCGTGCAATTCTCTTCAATTACCCGAATGCACAAGGTTTTTACACGGCACAAATTATCTCAAAATATATCCCTCCAGCGACATTCTTTTTCCAAAGAAAATGAACGATTGAGAGTATTCGTTGTTATAATAATACTATGAAAAGCAGATTGTCATTAAGTTTTATAATCCTGCATTATGGGTACCAAGAAATTCACACATGGGGTACAGTCATAATAACAGGCAATATCCCATATCATAATGCTTAAACTGTTACAGTCTGAACATGACGGATACTTTTAACAGAGAAGCCATCAGAATAATCGTTGGAGGCAAAAACGTGGGCCTAGATGTTGGCACAACCTGAATATATTTACTCACATTTTTTGCACGAAACACTTTGCCCAACCGATGAGCCTGAATCAGACAGGCGATTTAAACACGGCGCAACCATTATTCACCACTATATCAGTCAACGAGCGTGTAAAAGCTGCACGTATCTGCGAAGACCGACGACTCGTGACAGCTGCAGATAAATGACTTAACTATTTTGAACGGAAGGGCGTCTTCGAATGCGTGCGGACTTACGTTGTCGCAAAGTTCTCACCCTTCGTGGTGCACAAAATTTTGGCATAAAACACAAAATCTCAGGATATTCATCGGATTCAATATTCATCAATTCATACTGACAGCGCCCACGTATTTCTAATCTCGTGCGCATGGTGAGTCACGCAGCTCAGTATTATTTTCGCATATTTTTCTTTGAATTTCAATAACAGTCCATCCATTTTTAGGCGAAATCGCCTTCCAGCATTTAGTCATTTGGGTAGCGTTTGATTTTCAATTGATCTAATTTCTTTGGCTTGCCATTTTTAGGGTAGTCGTTAAAATTGCATCTTCCTACTCAATTATTTTGATTGTTTCTGGCCGTTCGCCTTTGCTCTCTGTAGTCTGATACGGATCAATTTTATCGTCAAATGGAGGCCAAAAATCCCACAGAAATAGCTATGCAAGAATTTGGCAGCGCTCGTCAACATGCTGGTGTTGCCAGCCGTTCGGAAGCGACACTTTTTGAGGATCTAAGGAGAGAGCGATGATCAGTCTCGTACTTACGAACGGGGAAACGTTAAGCGCGTACAAATTTATCAGCACGACGGTGTTCGAAGCAACCATTCATTCCGCTTAAATCGGTGAATCAAAAAAAGACACTTGGAAAGGGAATATGAAAACGATTAAAAAGAGCTTACGTGTTCCGAATGCTGAAAAATGTCCACCGCAAAGCCAACGCGTGGGTCAAAAACAAGTGTTTCTCTGGCATTCATTATAAAGCAATATACTCACGCTCGAACATAAATCTTCTTTGGCTTGCCATTTTTAGGGTAGTCGTTAAAATTGCATCTTCCAGCTCAATTATTTTGATTGTTTCTGGCCGTTCGCCTTTGCTCTGTCCGATACGGATCAATTTTATCATCAAATGGAGGCCACATAATCTGCTCTCCAATAATCCCACAGAAAGAGCTATGCAAGAATTTGGCAGCGCTCGTCAACATGCTGGTGTTGCCAGCCGTTCGGAAGCGACACTTTTTGAGGATCTAAGGAGAGAGCGATGATCAGTCTCGTACTTACGAACGGGGAAACGTTAAGCGCGTACAAATTTATCAGCACGACGGTGTTCGAAGCAACCATTCATTCCGCTTAAATCGGTGAATCAAAAAAAGACACTTGGAAAGGGAATATGAAAACGATTAAAAAGAGCTTACGTGTTCCGAATGCTGAAAAATGTCCACCGCAAAGCCAACGCGTAGGTCAAAAACCAGTGTTTCTCTGGCATTCATTATAAAGCAATATACTCACGCTCGAACATAAATCATATGAACTATTCTGATCAGTCAAAATCGACCCGGAAAAAGGGAAAAGTATTCTTTGGCTCAGATTTATTACAGATTCAAAATTACTCCATGAGCCCCAAAGTTGCAAACCCTATTGTTAGATATTTTGTGAACTTCTAGTTTGCCTGCTTGGCTATGCAATAAAATCCGGTAAGATTCCATAGCAAAGAAGTCTTTCTTCCTGTGGCAAAACAAATGACTCAAGGCGATCCATCAACGGTACACAGCGGTGCCTAAAAAAGAACATATAAATAGTGACACTGAGCATTAGATGGTCTGCCGCATGGAAGCTCACACCACATTTCCATTTGAACTTTTTGTCGCTACGGCATCAGCTTCCTGTACTCCAGGAACTCGATGTTCCAGAACATAACTCTGATGTATTTACCTTGCAGTTATTTGAATATATAAGAATCACACGATATGTTTATTTTGACATGGTATACATACAACGGACTGTATTCTTCCGCAAATCTACCAACAAAATCACAGAAATGTTCGAAATCTGCCAAATGACCAAAACAACACCTGGGTGCAATGAATTCTACAATTTTGAGTCCGTTGTTGACTGTCGGATACTAGTATTTGAACTACGTTCCCTCAGTCCATCATGATCACCGAACTACAATCCTTGTGAACACATCCTGGTTTCTTAGATGATTGCCAAATTCATATCTGCACAACTGGACCTCCCGGATTGAGCTGCAGCGCGTCGAATCAGGCGGACTTTTTTGCAAGGCGCTGTTTAAAGTCGTTCAACAGTGCGCTTGGACTCAACATGTCGCTGCACCCACCAGATACCGCGCAGGCCAACTACTATCCCTCCTGGATTTGGTCATCACCAACGAAAGACACTTCGTTGATCAGGTAACAATTAACGCACCACTGGGACATAGCGACTACTGTGTGCTGACCTTTGATTTCATCTGCTATTGGGTCAGAAACCTCAAACCTCAAACGTGGTTTCGAGACTTCTGCCTTGCAGACTTCTCCGAAATGCGCATCTTCCTTACACAAGTCACACTGGGACCACCTAGAGTAAGTCACACTGGGACCAGCTACGGTGGAAAAACTATAAAGGACCATTGTCCAGAAAGTGCACGAGGTTGACGCGACGTTCGTCCCAAAAAAATGGGCACGCACTCGGATAAACTGCAGGCTGCCAAAAAGGATTCAGTGACTTCTGGAAAAAAGATCCCAAAGAATCACCCAATAGTGGTATCTGAGGTTTACAGAGAACACTATGCGTGTCTATACTCAGCCCCAGCGTCCCCGTCACATCCACTCCTGTCAAAGCGAAACTATGAACAGCCTCTATCCGACTTGATCTTCACGTGGATGACATTCGTCAACTCTTGCACAAGATCAGCCAATTCTGCGCGTTGGCGCTCGACGAGGTCCATCCAAGGATCCTAAAAGAAACGTCCATCACACTGGCAAACCATTTGCACACGATGTTTCGTCAGTCGCCTGACGAAGGCCACCTTCCTTCTGCCTGGAAGGAAGCGATTGTCACGCCAGTCTACAAAACTGGTGACCGACTATCGCCTGGCAGCTATGGGCCTATAAACCTCACTAGCGTGCCGTGCAAGGTGATGGAACGCATTCTGAAGCGAGCTACCCTAGAGCATCTCACTTCCAGCAATCGGATACCTCCAGCCCAACACGGATTTCTCCCAAACCGCTGTTGCGTGACAAACATGCTCGTGTTTATGGATAGCCTAACCCAAGCCAAAGACGAAGGACTCTTATCGGATGCCATATTTTTCGACTTATCGAAAGCATTTGATCGTTTCCCAAATGTCCCGCTGCTCCACAAACTCGAGTTTTACGGGATTCAGGGGGAAATCCTTCGCTGGATCAAGGCGTTTCTATCAGACAGATAATTCCGATTGAGAATAGGCTCGACCTACTCCTCTCCAGCGCCGGTTTCCATCGGAGTTCCTCAAGGCTCCGTCCTGGGACCACTCTTCTTTCTGATCTACGTCAACCACCTCCCAGACGTTCTTGCGAATCCATGTTAACTTTTTGCGGACGACTTGAAATCCCGGAATTCCAACGCCAGTGCCCTCCAAATGGATGTAGACGCTGCCAAGCAGTGGTCGTTGGCCTGGCACCTTCCTCTGAATGATGAAAAGTGCGTCCATATGTCTTTTTTAGGGGATTCAATGAATGCCTGTGTTATGCATGGTGAAAATGGACCAGAAAACATCATGAGGATAGATGTCAAAAAGGATTTGGGCATTTGGGTCTCCTCAAACTTGCCCTTCTTACTGCACCATGAGAAATCAGCCCAAAAGGCATTCGCCATTTTACGGACGATCTGACGCACCTTCTCTCGTATTACTCGCGTGGACCTCCAAAGACTCTATAAAACCTACGTCAGACCGCTCCAGGAGTATGCCGACAAAGATGTCTCCTCAGGACGCACGAAACACCTCACCCTCGTTGAGCGTGTCCAGCGGGTGGTTACGAAAATTGTTGCCGGTCTCAAATCCGTGGACCACGAAAAGCGTCTCGAGATGCTTGATCTCTTACCCCTGGAGTACCGTCGCATCCGAGGGGATCTAATTCTTACTTACGCCCCGTTTGAAGAAAGCTTATCAAACACTTTTTTTACCGTTGACCCAGAAAACACCCGGCGGGGTATAGTAAGAAGATTTTCAAGCTCAGACCACACACATTCATTAGGCAAAAATTTTCTCGTTTCGAGTAGTGGCTGCGTGGAATGACGTTCCTACGACGGTTGTCCACGCTCCTTCTAGAACCCAGTTTAAAGCACTGTTAGACATTTATTTATGCAAATGCTCGCGCTTGCAAGCATACTGCCCCGCGCTGAGACATAAAGAGCAGTGCTACACCCTTTTTCCACTTGTGCCTTCAGGTGAACTACAGCCACTGACCGACAAGAACAAAACCGACCCGGAAAAATTGGGCAAAAGCCTCGATCCTGTGTATCAATCCGTGAATCCGTGAACCTCAGAAGCTGCACCATCCATTCGTAAAAATACGGCTTTTACACTTATGTTCACTTGCTGACCACAGTGACGAGGCAACCAAATAGTTTAATGACGCCTAAATTAAATAAAATCGCAAGGTATCTGGATGAGAAATTCTACCTAGTAATTGAGTGTTCTCGTACTTTCCACGTTTGCTAAAGAAAAATATGCAAGCAATAACCGCCGACAAATTCCAAAAGAATAGAGTGTTTACTGCGAGGTGTTGGAACATGAAGTTTAAAGCTATTTGGTGCGCACCTTTGTAGAGTGTCCCTGATATTCAAGGTGGTGTATGCCTGGACGTATTGGCTACGGATATACCTAAGATATATTTCCACTAACTAGCAACTATTTTCCTATATGAGAGCTAGTCAGATTACTGATTAATCATTCGCCTCGGAACGCTCTGATATGCGACTGCTTGCGGGAGGAAAGTCTCCAGTTGCGTGAGATGCCATTACTGATTGAAAGTCTTTACGGTGCTTCTCCGCTTTCCGGCATATATCAGCTTCACCGAGTGGACGAATACTCATTTACAAACTAGTATAAACACAATAGTATGCGAGCAACCCCCTTAACTATATTTGACATCTGGATAAAAATGAAGGCTAGTTCATCTTAGCCATTTGAAAACTGCTTTTGGGAAACCTGTCGGATTAAGTTGAGATTTTCATCTACATCTAGCGACACATTTTTAATTCAGGAAGCAATAAATTAAAAAAAACTCTCGTTACTTATTTTAAAAACGTAAAACAGTCCAGAATCAGCGCTGGGTGTGTACAGTTATTCTCAATAAAGTGGACCAGTGGGAAGAAACGGGGTTCCTAGTGACAACCTCCGATGTGATGGTGCTATTTTTGAAACTCCGATCATGCATTGAAGAGTCCCCGTTTTGCCCTCTGTGTACAAACTAACTCGCATATTTTGGTCACCATTATTATCACCAACACCACAAAAACTCGCCCAGTCTCCCATTTGATTCTTTGCTTCCTATACTAATGACCGCACATGGTACGAAATTCATAAGATGATATCCAAAACGACATTTTATTAAATATAACATTGCTAAGTTGCGTAGCTTCCTCTCCACCCACACAGTAGCTGTAAGCATTCGGACGACACACTCATGGGTCAATTTTTTAAAGTCGCATACTTTCCTGAGGAATCGCATTTCGGTTCATATTGACATTCGCTTCACAGGTAACCATGCGACCACTGACGATGTGCATCTCATAGAGACTTTCATCGGATTGCTTAGAATTCATCGCATGAGGAACCTGAGTTGAAATGGGGAGCTGCGTGTACACAGTTCAGACAAGAGCAGCTTTCCGCACTTCGAGGCTACAGCACACTCGTTTAAAGAAGCCATTCACGTGGCCTGACAAAATCATTTTGTAGATTTCCAGGAAGGAGCATAGAAACACACCTTCTTCTTCAGTGCTATTTGAGCTGATCTGCGCTATATATTCTGCGCAATGGGAGCTTATTCTTCGGATGTTTGACGTCCACCTTGTCAGGTCGTCTGCAATCAATTATAAGCCGAGAATGTTGCCTGCAGTTCATATTTATTGGAATACAATCATTATTGTACCAGTCGGCCTATCGACCTTGTGGATCATATCTGTTAACTGCTCTATCCGGTTTATCTCCATGTAAATATCAACAATTTTTTCTGGAGGGCGTTCAGTTTCTTTCAATTTGAGGTGGTCATTTTGATATGGCATCCTTGTTTGACGGTTATATCTTCAAATGCAAGCACAAAGTTGAAGCATGTTCGAGAGTCTCATCGGTGTTAATTTCAGACCAGATGCGGACAAGTGGAACATTCCTCGCCTGTTAAGTGTACGTATGGTACGATCCCTTCATTGATTTACCAGGAGCCAACTAATATCCCTTTCTATCTTGGACACCTTAACCACTGAGGTGGATTCCTCGATGAACAGCGGACACAAAGCGCGAAAACTACATTTGTATTTCATTTAAATTACCCAAATATATTAGTCGACCTGGAAATTTACATCAAGCCATCATTCAAAATAATGCTAGTTTGTCAGAAGATTTTGACCTAAGTGACTATTTAACAACGCTTCAACGCCTCGGGTGTCGCAATGCAGTATGTTAATTTGCTTTCATATCACAAATTTGTGCATATCTAACAATCAAAAAATTAAGACTCAATGAGTAATCGGGAACAATTTTAACTGCAAGCCTGTTGCTTTTTTGGCCATGCACCAGTGCATCCCTTAAAGTAATAGGCCCTGTGTAGTGGAATACTCCAATTGAATGTCATGTTTTACCGTGTGGTAGAATTTAATACTAGATTCGCGAAACAACTAACTGTAACGTGCCTTTATCCGTATCGATGTTTTGCGTATACATCAAAGGCAGTCGAGTTGCAGCTATTGACCAGACGCAATACGGCAAATGTTTTTGGGAATTATGTCGGAGGAGAACTTGCACAAGCAATCGCATTGCATGCAAAATTAACTGCGTGTGTTTTGAGATAAAAAAAACATCGAATGGTATTTATACCTACTGCATGTCTGGCAGCATAACCGCTTTTATCTTTGTATCGTAGAGTCCTTCATAAGGCCCACGTGTCTTCACGATTCCCAGTTGACAATTCGCGAATGAGAAGACTTCAGTGTGAGTAGTTTATCAGATGTTTATAGACTTCTAGATTGTGGGCATTCGATGGTTCTCAAGGAAGAGGGATATGGTGGAGAAATTAACTGATCACTTTGCAGTATTACCCTGATGGTGGCTGAGCTCAGCTTGCAGGTGCCCGCAATCACAAGTGTTCTGTACAGAATTCCAGATAGCTGTGGAGGAAAAACGGCACAGATATCCAAGGATAATTTCTTATATTTGCAACCTCAAAGAGAACCACGTTGACATATTTCAAGACAGCAAGTCAGAGCTCCAGGATGTTCTATATTTATGCATCCAGCATTAATAGAGAAATAATTTGGGATCAATTATTTTGCTATAAGATTACTCCAGCGCGAAAAATTTATCTAAGACAGCTTTAATAATGCAATATTTTACACAGCGCGATTATGTGCAAAATATTGATCATATTGCATTTAACGTATTTGGGCTTCTTGACACCTTATCGATTGCAGCGGTCAGGCGATTCAGATTAATAGTGGTCGTTTGTTTTAGCTGTGCAAACAATATCTTTGCTCTTTTTGTGGCAGTATAATAAACAATCTTTGAATTGTGGTGATAAAGAACCGCCAAGATTCAAAAAACGAGCGTCACAGAAGACGAAGGGTTGGTAGAAGTTGAGTAGATGAGCAGAAGGTAAGTAAAAGTTATATATGGAAGGTAGAATATAGAAGGTAATAGCAGGAGCAAGTAGTTAGAAGGTAAGTGTGATAGAGATTGTAAAAAGCATTGCACGAATTTTATATGGCGGAAAGTTTACCTCCGCCTTCACCATTAGCTGAAATTATGGTATTTCAAATGCAAACATTACCGAAAAGTAGGATTTGCAGGTGCTTGTTAGTTTCCAAACTTTGGACAAGAGACAACTGGTAACTTTGTGAAATGTGTTCAATAAACATTCGCAGTAATCGTTTTTTCACTGCAGGGTTTCAAAACATAACGTGACAGATAATTTGTGATGTTCCAGGAATCGATCAGACAGCGCACAAACAAATGTGTGCACTGGTTTGCTTTGCTACGGACGCAATGTATGATTAGTGGCACGTTTTTTTGTGAGCTGGCAGTGTTCTCGTGTTTCCGGTGTACGATGGCTTCATGGGAGTTTTAAAGAGCCAATCGGTGAACCGGCATCTGTACTCAATGGTATACATGATACAACCTTATTTCCCTGCTATGTCAATCAGCGGGTGTGTAAAAACCAAATATTTGTGATAAACCGGTGGTTTGTGACAGTCGTTGAACAACGAGTTAACCGTAGTGCGTGATATGGCGCGTTTAAATGCGCCCACACGTTCGTTGTCGCACAGTTCTCACCCTGTGTCGTGCACAACATTCTCGCATGGTAAACAGAATGTCAGGTTATTGCCAATCCGCGCCTTTTCTTCCATTCTGGTACGGAGGGTGATGCTCAATAGAGTCACGTTGTTCAGTAAAAGCTTATATGGTGTTATTTTGCTCCGAATTTCCTTGAGACATCTTTCATCGCCTAACAAATTTTGTTTTCTCGTACTCGGTTATTTGGGTTACCTTTGACTGGTCACCATTCTAGTTGATCTCCTTCCTTTCGATTGTCATTTTGATGGTAGTTGGTTAATGTACATCTCCTAAGAACTGTGTTCCAAGCAAATATTTTTAAATCTGCGTAGGATTCGTCGACTTCAGCGCACGCGGTCAACTTACCGATTTGGTCGGTTCTTCAACGAATTCATTGATGTTGCCATGATGTTGCGTTTGCTTTGATGGTAGTTGGTTAATGTACATCTCCTAAGAACTGTGTTCCAAGCAAATATTTTTAAATCTGCGTAGGATTCGTCGACTTCAGCGCACGCGGTCAACTTACCGATTTGGTCGGTTCTTCAACGAATTCATTGATGTTGCCATGATGTTTGCGTTTGCTGCTCGGTCACAGTTTTAAGATACGTTGAAATAGTGAGTATCTGTCTACATCACCTTTGTAAGAAACGACCATTAGGCATGCCCGTATAGTGGTATAATTTATGCAACTGGGAAGCAGATATTGTAACCTACTCATCACATCCGATTGCGGAGGGCATTGGGACGGACGAAAGCTGGCTAAGCGGTAATAACAAAGGATAACAATCTACTACACTCCCGAATGTCATTTACTGATGCATTTTCACTCTCGGTGCATTAATCTCCAAACTTCAACTGGCTGCCAGTTTTCGTCTACTAAGTAGACTAAATTATTGCCTAAACAATACACCTACACTATGTATCCTAGTGAATGCCGTAACCTATCACACAACAATTGCGAAAACAGCTCTCGTAAATGATTTGCATTAGGTTCAGTCCGTCGTTTTACTAATCGACCAAATGGGTTCATGTATGGTTGAAAAACATGGAATATACTTAAGCCCATGTTTTAAAATGTTCTAAGTATTTTCCCGACATATTCTATTTAAAATGATCATCATCATCATATGCCGGTGGTAATGTAAAACCACCGCGCAATTTGATGGTATAATTTTAGGTCTTTCTTTGCTTGTAACTCGTGTACGCAGCCGTTGAACTTTGTGCGTGCTTCTCCTAACTTGCGGAACCCCGTAATTTTTCCTCAATCTCAAAGACGTTTGTTGCCAAGCAAATATTTTTAAATCTGCGTAGGATTCGTCGACTTCAGCGCACGCGGTCAACTTACCGATTTGGTCGGTTCTTCAACGAATTCATTGATGTTGCCATGATGTTTGCGTTTGCTGCTCGGTCACAGTTTTAAGATACGTTGAAATAGTGAGTATCTGTCTACATCACCTTTGTAAGAAACGACCATTAGGCATGCCCGTATAGTGGTATAATTTATGCAACTGGGAAGCAGATATTGTAACCTACTCATCACATCCGATTGCGGAGGGCATTGGGACGGACGAAAGCTGGCTAAGCGGTAATAACAAAGGATAACAATCTACTACACTCCCGAATGTCATTTACTGATGCATTTTCACTCTCGGTGCATTAATCTCCAAACTTCAACTGGCTGCCAGTTTTCGTCTACTAAGTAGACTAAATTATTGCCTAAACAATACACCTACACTATGTATCCTAGTGAATGCCGTAACCTATCACACAACAATTGCGAAAACAGCTCTCGTAAATGATTTGCATTAGGTTCAGTCCGTCGTTTTACTAATCGACCAAATGGGTTCATGTATGGTTGAAAAACATGGAATATACTTAAGCCCATGTTTTAAAATGTTCTAATAATTTTCCCGACATATTCTATTTAAAATGATCATCATCATCATATGCCGGTGGTAATGTAAAACCACTGCGCAATTTGATGGTATAATTTTAGGTCTTTCTTTGCTTGTAACTCGTGTACGCAGCCGTTGAACTTTGTGCGTGCTTCTCCTAACTTGCGGAACCCCGTAATTTTTCCTCAATCTCAAAGACGTTTGTTGCTCCTAATGATAACTTCCGGACAATTATTCCCCACATGTATACAAAAATTTATTGATTTGAGAAAAAGCACCCTAAACAGAGTCGGCCTAACAAGATATTCTCGATTCAAAATTTCCACAAAGAAGTGAAAACGAGGCCGCTTTATATGTCTGAGGGTCTACAGCAATGGCATCCCGTCCTACATGGTTTCTTATCGAGGACCCACCTTTTTGGACGGCAAGCGTGGTTGGCGTATATCACGGTTCAGACAAAAGTTAAGGACTCAATAACAGGACGGTGTAACTATTGAATCAGTTTGAATTGCATTGTCACGCATCACGGCAGAGGGCAGTTTTTCGTGAATATTTCACGCTGTTCCAGCTTTGGTCATCTTAACACAATTTTATCCTCAGGAAACGCGTCGAGATTCTATATATATGTACATGGACAGAATGGGTTTTTAATGAATGATGGGCCTAACATGCTTTGGAGATCTTGAGGCATGACATGTGCTTTACCGTCTCCTTATCTGGTACATATGGAAAATATCTGGGTGCGCAATATGGTGTTCGTTCTAATAAGCGCGCGGCGGAAACACTTGGATGTATATGTGGTAGCGCGAATATGCGCAGCGAGTATGCGTGTTCTTTTGGAAGCAATTGCCAGCCGAATAATTGTGAAGCAATAAACCAAGGATGTTGGTTGTTGTGAAGCCTATGGCGCAATATCTCCTAAACATCTGCGGTCGTAACAAAATGACGTTATAATTACTAAGCGCCCTTTATCATGGCTTCCGATGCAGGGGACAACGTTTTCCTGCTCAACAGGAGTCGACAATACTGACAACATGTATGATTTTCGGCGGATGTCCGTCCTAGATCTCCCTACAATCATTTGTTTCATTTATCACTGGATAACCCAAACTAAAATTCCGAAACAACATTGATATACTATTTTAGCGTGCGTAAACAAACTGTTCTGCGGTAAACTGATTAGGAAAATTCTCCCACCGTTAAACCGCACGCGAATGTTTGTCCTGGGTTGCCAGGTGAAATCTTGCTAAAAAAATTAATAAAGGAAGACAAGGGTCAGCTAACTGAGCGGCCGTAAAAAATTCTGAGCAGTTAGCAATACAATGTCGTCCAATGCCTAAATGGCCTAACATTTCACAAACATGATTAAAAATTTTAAAAACTCGCGGCACATTCTGTGAAAGTGGGGCCCATTCAGAAGCATGCGTATGATATACGTCACAGAACTCGTGGACTGAATGGCATGAAATTATAGAACGTGTGCATAATTGTGCGTAAAAACCAGATCTACATAAACTTTATTTCGTGAATGGCATGAAATTATAGAACGTGTGCACAATTGTGCGTGAAAACCAGATCTACATAAACTTTATTTCCATATGTTTGAAATTTTTTCCTACAGCAGAGTATCACTGTTTTTGTAAATAAAGCAGCCCACTATTGACATTTATTTGATAACTTTTGTGGCATTTGTAGCAATCCATAGGTAGCAGTTTGTTTATACTGTTTATAAACCAGTGAATGCATTCAAATGAAGCGCCTTGGTGGTTTTGTTTTAAAACGTAACTGACAATGTCCTCCACCGTTGCGCTAAACGCAAATAATTATTCTATCCAAACAGGACATTTAGATTTGCAGTTAAACATCTTGCGAAATGGGCGGATATTCGCACACCAGCTATTGCATGGGTAGATTCACTGTTTCCAAATAGGAATTAGGAATTAGGAATTTTGGATTTATGGACGACGACAGAAACCATATGATGTAAGCGGTTTATTCGACATTTATCCTCTTGAAGCAGACAAGCCAACAGCAACGCTATAAAAATGTTTTCCGCAAACATTCTGTGAATCGGAAAAAATTAAAAGCCGTAAACCGTAATGGCTGAAACTACATGGATTATTGCGCAAAACACTAAAAGCGCTCCAACATTAAAAAGAAAATTTTCAGGGCTATATCCACAGCAGCGAGGGCTTTCTTTTTTTATACACACTTTCAAAGCGGAACAGCCTCATTCAGAGATCCATAAAATGGTATTCTGCCTTCACATCAATCGCGTTTTGAGCCTCCACCAGATGCAACAGATCACCAAAATGACAAACTTCATGATGCCGGGAATCCGTTTCTTATTGTGGTAGTAGTGCGAATGTTTGTTGCTCATAACTGTCATCATCAAATTTTGAATTGCAGGAGTTCCAGGAGGAGAGAGATAAGCAACTTAAAATTAATCTTGAATATCCTGAATTCATGTTTTGCCAGCTGACGAACGCAGCGTCTCCTGAATCCCCAAATATGTGCAAAAATTTAATATGTTCTTCGCAACAAACCGTGAATTCCGTTTGCGCTGCTGTGGTAATTAAGTTTCGTACGTATATCGGTACAACCCGACTTAGCTCAGTAGATCTGGATACACCAGTCCACGGCAAACTGCTTCAACTTTCACTTATTTGCCGTTTATAAGGTCACGGCTGCACACCGGATTTAAGCACAAACAGAGCACCGTCCAACAGAACACCAAAACAGTTCCGTTTGTGCCCGATTAGAAACGTAGGATAGAGTCGATCTTCGGGACAGTTTCTGACAAAACCGGGGAATCCGGTAAATATTGGCTTATTTCTTATTCTAAAAGGGTCGTGAATCGGAGGGTATAATAATGCTAAGTTCATGTCGGTAAGGTTTTCAGCTAATCGTTTTGACGTGACGAAAGCGTAAGGCGTTCTCGTTTGCACCTGAAGTGTCTCCTACTTGCTGTTGTACATTTGTTGAACGTTTTTGTAGATTATATTACTATGGTACCTAGTGGACACGAAATTGTGACTCAAAACGTTTTTCGTTTTTTTACAAGGCAATGGCAATCACTCTGCATGATCTACAGAGGTTTGCAAAGGAATTCGGATATATACACTCATTTGTCTGATGGTGATCTTTCGGTTTTTGGTGAAACAGCTACTTGCTGGTGCTTCACCAGATTTTGCGCCATGAGGTTAATCTCCGAAAAGAATCACCATTGCGTGTAAACTATAGTCTTGCAAGTATTCACATACTTATATGAATGGACACCAATTTTTAATGAATAACTAAATGGCGGTTGGACTAACAGGTGCAACTGCATTGTGGGTCAGAATATATGGGTTTTCAACATTGAAAGATTATGACGTCTAAGGTTACATTAAACATACTTGTGCTTTTTTGAGTAAAGTGCGGATATTTCTTGTGTACCGGATGAACTACGGTAAAGTGTCTTGTGCATGAATGCAGTCAATATGAGATGCTTATGTGTTTGGGCTGTAGTATTTGGAGAGCATGCCTGGACCGAAGTCAACGACATAAAAGCCA